ACGGGCAGCAAAGGGCGGGCCTGGCCGTGCTGGTGGGGAGAGACCCAGCGCCGTCCAGCGACCCGTTCTCGTGACTCAAGAGAGAAGCCCCGAGGACCCCGGGCACGGAAAGCACACAGACCTAACCCGGGCCCAACACTGACAAGGACAGATGACAAAACGGATGGGGAGCAGACGATGTGGCCACGGCGAGATGGAAGCGACAGGCAGACACAGCGCGGCCCCACCAACACCGACCAGCGAGGCAAGCACAGAGCCGGGGCGCGGTGTGGAAGACAAAGCCCTCCCGAGCCTGCTGGCATGGCGTGGAGGGTGGACAGGGCCACCAGGTCCCTTCTCCTCCCCTGCTAGGACCAAGGCGGCTTCTCTGCAGAGTGAGAACCCTCGGGAGTCCGGCTGCTTGCTGGCAACCAGTGAGAAAACGGCCCGTAGCGTGGGCACAGGCAAGTCTGAATTTGGGGTTTGGCTCTCTGGAAGGCACCTACCAGGTCAAAAGTCAGAGCCAAGGGTCTGCAAAGGAAGAGGGGGACAGTTGAGGCACACGGCCACTACTTCGACCCGGCCTTTTCAACTGTCTCCCCCAATTCTCCGCAGCTGAAGAGCTTGTGAGCAGTTCCCGAGGACCAGGAGCTGCTCCCTGCTGTGCCCTGTGATGCTGCTCACTTCTCCTACTTGTGTTTTACTTTAAGAAAACCCAAACATCAGTACCACAGTCATTTCCCCCCAACCCAGACGCCCGCATGGAGAAAGCACCTCTGACGGCCACAATCCGGCAGGAAGGATGCAACGAGCCAGGCACGCAGCAAACACATCTGCTCATTAGAAATCCAAATTCACACTCTCGTCTCGGGAAGGCAAGTGAGCAGTGAGAGTGCAGGGAGGTGCCAGGCCTGCTGGAGAACGCTGCCCTGACACTTCTCGCCCTTCTTAAGAGAGCAAACCTGCAGAGATGCAGCACACGAAGTTCCTTCACAGCCTGAATCTCAGCCTGTGAAATTTCCCACAGAGCCCTGGGCACCAGCAGACGTCAGCGGGGGTGTTGGCACCAGTTTTGATGTGGGTGGATATAATGAGGACCTACTGAGCAAGGACCTTGCGCTGTGCTATAATCAGGACCTGCTTTGATTCCTGGCCCTTCTCCATCTTGTAGGCAGGGAAACCGAGGCACGGAGCAAAAACGCTCTTTCCGCACCCCGATTCAAGGGCACGATCCCCCACCTGCTGCCACGCCGTGCAGAAACCTAACGCAGCCCTGGGGACACTGAGCTCTCCCGCCAGCCTTGCTGTGTAACCCATCACGCCCCATCGACGGGTGCCCACGACACCCAGCGGGCTCCAGCACCGGCTCCACAGGGAGCATCCCTAGGGAAGAACCACATCTGAGGACAGCCAGCCCCTCAGTGCTTCCAAAAGGCAGACGGTGCTTTGCCGGGCACCGGGGAGGAGAGCCGCAGTCCCTGCACAGCCCCTGCCCGCCGGACTTGCGCAGACAAGCGTGACACACACTACGGAGGGCACGGGGACAAGCATCACAGTCCCAGGCAGGCAGACGTCTCTGGGAAAGAGGAGGTGGGGAAGAAAGGGGGGGGTTTTTTGGGGGCAAAAAAGGAGA